TATTTATTTGACAGAGAGAGACACAGCGAGAGAGGGAACGCAAGCAGGGGGAGTGGGAGAGGGAGAAGCAGGCTCCCCGCAGAGCAGGGAGCCCGATGCGGGACTCGATCCCAGGACCGTGGGATCATGACCTGAGCTGAAGTTAGTCGCTTAACCAACTGAGCCACCCAGGCGCCCCATCTTTTCTTTTTTTAATTTTTACCTATTTATTTTTTAAGATTTTCTTTTTCAGTAATCTCTATGCCCAGAGTGGGGCTCGAACTCACAACTCTGAGATCAAGAGCTGCACTCCACTGACTGAGCCAGCCAGGCGCTACCCCCCCTTTTTATTTTTCCACTTTGATGATGTTTATCATGTACATTTTATATTAACACAATAGCACAAGCATATAATTTGTAAATCCATAGACACATATTGGGATTGGCGTTCAGTTTGTCTACATTGAAAAAGTTGCCCTGTCAACATAGTTTGGAGGAAGCAGAAGGGCTTGTATACCAGCGTTCACTACAGAGTTATTCATAGGAGCCAGAAGACAGAAACAACCTGAGTGTCCATCAAATACATGGATGGGTAAACAATATGGTCTATCCATACAGTGGAATATTAGTCATAAAAAGGAATGAAGGAATGCTACCACATGGATGAACCTTGACGTTATGCTAAGTAAAACAAACCAAACACAAAAAGACCAATCTTGTATTCCACTTACATGAAATATCTAGAATAAGTAAATTCATAAGAGACAGAGAGGATATATGAGGCTTTTAGGGGCTGGGGGGAGGATGGAACGGGGAGTATTATGTGTTGAATTGTGTCTCCCCAAAATGATGTGCTGAGGTCCTACTCCCTGGCTGGCACCCCAGAATGTGACATTATTGAGAAATAGGGTCTGTGCAGACTGAACGAGGTGGAGGTCATTAGGGTGGGACCTAACCCAATATGACGGGTGTCCTGGGACATTTGGACACAGAGACACAGAGACACAGAGGGAGGATGATGTGAAGACAGGGAAAAGGCGGCCACGTGACTGGAGTGATGTCAAGGAACTCCAAGGATTGCCAGCAAACACCAGAAGCTAGAAGAGACAAGTGAGGAGTCCCGCCTCAAGCTGTCAGAAGACAGTGGTTCTGCTGACACCTGGATTTCAGACTCCTCGCCTCCAAACCACAGAGACAATAAATCGCTGTTGTTTTAAGCCACCTGGTCTTTGGTACTTGGTCATGGCCACCCTGGGAAACTAACACAGAGAGCTACAGCCTCGGAGTTACAGCGTTTCTGCTTGGAGAGATGAAAAACTTTGGAAATAGATAGTGGTGATGTTTGCACATTTTGCATGTAATAAATGGCAGTGAATTGCACAATTAAAAATTAAGTGGAAAATTTTTGATGTTATATATTTTTTACCTCAATTTAAAGCAATTAATGATGTAGGATACCAAAAATCATTGAATTGTACATTTTAAAGGGGTAAATTGTATGGTATATAAATTATAGCTCAATAAAGCTATTAAAAATAGTTTGTTTATGGAGAGGCGAAAGACCTAGAATAGCCAACACATTGAAAAAGAATAAAGTTGGAAGACCAACACTACCCAACATCAAGACTTGTCATAAAACTACAGCGATCAAAAGATATGTTAAGAAAAAAAAAGAAGAAGAAGAAGGTAGCGGGAGGGGAGGAATGAAGCGGGGGAAATCGGAGGGGTGGACGAACCATGAGAGAAGATGGACTCTGAAAAACAAACTGAGGGTTCTAGAGGGGAGGGGGGTGGGAGGATGGGTTGGCCTGGTGGTGGGTATTGAGGAGGGCACGTTCTGCATGGAGCACTGGGTGTTGTGCACGAACAATGAATCATGGAACACTTCATCTAGAACTAATGATGTAATGTATGGGGATTAACATAAGAATAAAAAAAAATTGGAAAAAAAAAAAAAAAAAACTACAGCGATCAAGGGACGCCCAGTGGCTCAGTCGGTTAAGCGACTGCCTTCAGCTCAGGTCATGATCCCAGGGTCCTGGGATCGATGGAGCCCTGTGTTGGGTTCTCTGCTCAATGGGGAGCCTGCTTCTCCTTCTGCCCCTCCCCCCCGCTCATGCTTGTGTTCCTTCTCTCTCTCTCTGAGATAAATAAAATCTTAAACTCACACACACACACACACACACACACACACACTAGAGTGATCAAGACAGTGTGGTACCAGTGAAAGCACAGACAAATAGATCAATGGGACAGAACAGAAAAGCCAGAAATAGACCCACAGAAATATAGTCAACTGATCTTTGACAAAGGAACAAAGACGGTCTTTTCAGCAAATGGTGCTAGAACAACTGAACATCCACAGGCCAAAAAAAAAAAAAAAAATGAATCTAGACACAGACTTTACACAATTCACAAAAACTAACTAAAAACGAACCATAAACCTAAATGAAAACACAAAATTATAAAACTCCTTGAGGATAACGTAGGAGAAAACCTACAAGACCTTGCATTTGGTGATAACTTTTTAGATACAACACCAAAGGCAGGGTCAATGGAAGAAATCATTGATGAGCTGGACTTCATTACAATTAAAAACTTCTGCTCTACCAAAGACACTTTTAAGAGAATGAGAAGGCAAGCCATAAACCGGGAGAAAATATTTGCAAAAGGCATGTCTGATAAAGGACTGCTATCCAAAATACAAAGAGCTCTTTAAACTCAACAAGAAGAAAATGAAACACCCAATCAAAAAATGGGCAAAAGATCTGAACAGACACCTCACTGAGAAAGACCTACAGAGGGCAAGCAAGCATATGAAAAGATACTCCACATCCTAGGTCATTAGGGAAGCGCAAGTGAAAGCAGTGAGGAGATACCACTACACATCTGGTACATGCCGACATCTAATACCTATTAGGATGGCGAAAATCCAAAACACTGAAAACATCAAATGCTGGTGAGGATGTGGAGCAAGAGGAACTCTCATTCATTGCTGGTGGGAATCCAAAATGGTACAGCCACTTTGGAAGAAGTTTGGCAGTTTCTTACAGAACTAAAATACTCTTTACCATATGATGCAGCAATCACGCTCCTTGGTATTTACCCAAATGAGTTGAAAACTTATGTCCACCTGCACATGAATGTTTATAATGGCTTTATTTGTAATTGCCAAAACATGGAAGCAACCAAGATGTCCTTCAGGAGGTGAGCAGGGAAAATAAACTGTGGAACATCCAGACAACAGAACATTATTCAATACTAAAGAGAAATAAGCTAGCAAACCATGAAAAGACACGGAAGAACATTACATACACATTACTAAGTGAAAGAAGCCAATCTGAAGAGTCTACAAAGTATATGCTTCCAACTACATGACATTCTTGAAAAGGCAAAACTTGAAAAGGATCAGTGGCTACTCAGGGATAGGGGAGAAGGAGGGATGAGTAGGTGGAGCACAGGGGGCTTTTAGGGCAGTGAAAGGACTCTGTATGATACCATAGTGGTGGATACATGTCATTATACATTTGTCCAAACCCACAGAATGCACACCACTGAGAGTGAACCCTCATGTGAGCTGTGGACTTTGGGTGATATGTGGGTATATGGTAGATGGGAACTCCTTGTACTTTGTGCTCTATTTTGCTGTAAATTTGAAACTACTGCAAAAAAATAAAGTATTTTTTTTTAATCCAAATTCTGGCACTGTCCAGAAAATTTTAACATGCTTATTTATAATTGTTATAAAGTTGAATTACTAAAAAAAAAAGAGTTCGGAGGCCACTGCAAGAGGACATTTATATGTGCATAACAGCCCACAGTTAACTAACTTACCACAGGGATGAAGGGGAAGAGGTCCTGTGTAGGGGTGGAGGCCCAGGGACAACCTGAGCCACCTCCTTTCTCCCAGGAGATACCAGGTGGGCGGCGGGGCTGGAGCAAGGTGCATAACCTCTCTGTGTTTTGGTTTCCTCATCTGTGAAACAGGAGAAATATCGGTATTTAATATTAATCGACATTTACTACTGTAAATGGTGCCCTCGGAAGCTCCCCTCACCTGCCGCTGGGCCAGCACTGGGCAAGACAGTTAACATTTACCGAGAGATAGCCACAGTGTACCAGGGGCTCACTTAATCTTTCCCCCAGTTGTGAGGTAGGAACTCTCCTTCCAGAACGGGCAACGCAGAAAGTTCAAGTGATTTGCCCAAGATCACATAGCTAGGTAGAAGTGACTGAACCAGGCTGCAGATTGGGTGGGGCTCTGCGACACCAAACCAACTCATTTCTACTCTACCACGTGCCTGGTATCCCCAGTTACCAATGAGACAGAGGTGGGTTGCCGAGCGCCATGTCTACATGTTCAGCAAGCAGCGTTGAGGTGGTGACACCTTAGGAAGAATATCACAGTTCCCTCCACGTGCTAAAGGCTGTGTCAGGCATTGGAATGAGCCCTGCACGTGGCCTCAGAAAATGTGGCACAAGTCCCAGCTACATCTACTGCTAGTTGTGTGGCCACGAGCAAGTCACTGTACCTGGGCCTCAGTTTCCTCATCTGTAAAATGGGTATAATAACTATCCAGACTGGGCGCCTGGGTGGCTCAGTCGTTAAGCTTCTGCCTTCGGCTCAGGTCATGATCCTGGAGTCCCTGGACCGAGTCCTGCATCGGGCTCCCTGCTCGGCAGGGAGTCTGCTTCTCCCTCTGACCCTCCCCCCTCTCATGTGCTCTCTCTCTCAAATAAATAAATAAAAATAAAATCTTGAAAATAAATAAATAAATAACTATCCAGACTGTGTGGATTTTCAAGGAAGCAACAAATCTAGAAATGTCTAGCAAGGGGCTGGCCTAGAGAACATACCCATCTCATGTTTACTGAATGTGACATACCACCAAGAATCAGAAGAGAGGGATAGAATCAGGCCTGGGGGCTGAGCTCCCCTTATTCCGTCACACGCCATTTCTTTCAGGAATGGGGGGAATAGAGCCCCATTCCCCACACTGTGCCCCTCAGGGAGGGAGTCAGGGAGGGGAGCTGGAGGTTCTCAGTTCTGATCCAGCAGCCTCCACCACTACACACAAACACACCCCCTTCTACACAGCCCTCTGCTGGGAGGATGAGCCATAATGTCCTGTCCCCCATTCTCCCAGGCATGGCAAAGACCACAGCTGTGGTCCAGCTGTGGAACCCAGCCCAGACGCTCCTGACCGGCCCTGTGCCAGAGACAAGAAGCCGGGAAGAATCATGCATGCCTGCTGGACACTGGGAAGGGGTGGACACCAGGGGCTGGAGCCGGGCCAGCCTTGGGAGTGCATTGTGTGCACAGGACTATAAGGGAGAGCTGTGCAGAGTCACTGTCACTCTGGAGGGCTCTGGGGAGGCTTTGTAGACTCTTCAGATTGGCTTCCAGGAGGCTGGAAAGAGTACTGGTTTGGGAGTCTGGAAACCTGGGATTTAGCACGATTTTGTCACTCACTCATTCACTGTGTGACTTGCATTAGCTCCTTCCCCCTCAGGCCTCTTGTGAAACTGGAACTATCTACTGAGCTGTCTGGGGCAGACACAATTCTAGGGAATACACCAGCAGACGAGACAGAGTCCCCTTTCTTCTGGAGCTTCCTTCTGCCAATAAACAAGCAAATGTAATAGAAAACAGGGTGGAAAGGCCTCTGAAGAAGAATAAAGTGGTGTGAGGGGACAGTGAGGGTTCCGGGATGGCCTCTCTGAGAAGGTGATGCAAGCAGAAGAAAGGCAGAGATGAGGAAGGGGGCCACAGGAAGGTCTAGGGGAAGCACATTCTGAGCAGAGGGAAGAGCAAGAGCAAAGGCCCTGAGGCAAGCATGAGGCAAGTAGAAAAATAAACCCAGGAAGTAACGAGGCTGGGAGAGAGATGGGGGCGAAGGTAGGAAGAACCCATCTAAGGGAGGCCGGAGGCCATTGTAAGGACTTGGCATTTTACTCCAAACTGATCAGTGGGCCCCAGGAAAGCTAGGCCTGGGCTGGGAAGCAGAGCCCACCTGGTGTTGTGTGTCAGTGGGTGGAAGGGTCAAGTTCAACCTCTGCTCACTTGCCCTGGGGTCCTAGCCAGGTGCTTCACAAAGAGTGGTGTACCAGGCCTAGAGTGATCAATGCGCTTGGCTCAGGTGCACAACTTAAAGGGGCATCAGAAAACTCAGTAATGAGGGGCGCCTGGGTGGCTCAGTTGGTTGGGCGACTGCCTTTGGCTCAGGTCATGATCTCAGGGTCCTGGGATCGAGCCCCGCATCGGGCTCCCTGCTCAGCGGGAAGCCTGCTTCTCCCTCTCCCACTCCCCCTGCTTGTGTTCCCTCTCTCGCTGTCTCTGTCTCTCTGTCAAATAAATAAACAAAATCTTTAAAAAAAAAAAAAGAAAGAAAGAAAACTCAGTAATGAAGATAAACAATATTTTCCCACAATGTCTAAGAATCAAAATTAATGCAAAAAATCCACAATGCACAAATTGCCAATACTTTAAATCAACACAGGATCTAATCCTGCACTTGCACAATCCTGTCTCATTGGCTTTGCTCTAACCCCAGCCCTGGTTTCAGTAAAATTTTATTTATAAAAATAGAAAACTGGCTGGCAGGGCTGTGATTTGCTGATTTGTTTGGGTTTTTTAATACTAAAATATTGGATTAAAACGTTATTTATCTCAGCACCCTTCTAAATTTTGCACCCTAGCCAAGGGCCCCATTTACCTTACCCTAGTCCTGGCCCTGGGTAACAGTAAAAGGATTGATTTCCCCACCGAGGACCCCAATGTTCATCCCTCCTGAGACTCAGAGAAGTGAACAGACTTCTCCAGGGAAACATGAGGATGGTGGGGCTGGGATGTGAACTGTAGTCCCATGCCATGCGGAGGCCCACCACCTGGCCCTCACATCCTACTGTGCTCTGCCCTGGAACACTGATTTTTTAAGCTTTTTATTCAAGCATAATAGGCATAGGAAAAAAACCGCATGTACCTTAAATGTTCACCTTGCTGAATTTTCACCAACTGAGCGCACCTGTAAAACGGCGTGTGGGATTCCATTTAAAGCGTATTTTACATTTCCAACAAACCAAACGTATTCGTTAGGACTGGGCCAGATTCCTAGGACTTTGAGCTCAAGCAGGCAACTTACAGTAAGGATAGGGAACTGGGCTGATCCAGAGTTTAGGGACGGGGATAGAGATTGAGAAGGGGTGCATCGCTAGGGTCTGTGGTTGGGGAGGGGGCCCTATATGCCAGAGAGGACAGGGAGAGAAGGCGGGGGCTGCCCTGGAGACAACGTCCCCCCCCCCCCCCTTGGAGGAGGGCGAGGCCCATGCCGTAGGCCCAGGTAAGCTGGTAAGAATGCAGCAGTCGCCGAACCCGGGCGGGGGTGCGTCCTGGTGACTCAGCCCTTGTCAGGAAGGGGGAGTCCACTCTGCTCTCCAGAGCTCCCAGACAGCAGCTGGATCGAGGCTGGCTCCCGGGGCGCCAGGCCGGGGGGACCCCGCAGCAGGCAGCCCGGCCCCGGCAGCGGGACCCTGCCTCCCGGCCCCGGAGCCCCCCTTCCGGCCGCAGCCACCTGGGCTCATCGCAGGGACGCGGCCGCGGGTGGCAAGAGCGCGGCGGCCGGTCCTGGCCACGACGGCGCCGCAGGGGCCTTGGAGCGGCGTAAGTAGCGACTGCGGGGGCTGGAGGAGGCCAAGGAGAGGCCCGGAGTCCCTCACTCGGCCCCCCGCGTCCCAGCCCCCTGCTTCAGGCCCCGGGCTGGAAGGCGGGACTTGGGGAACTGGCCCGGCGCCGCCTCCGCCTCCCTAATTGCTCCCTGGCCCGCGTGGTGGGGCGCCCAGACTCGGCTCCGAGGCGGCCCGGGTCAAGTGTGGCCGAGACGCTGGCACCCCAGCGTCGGCCCCACCTGAGAACCATCCTACGGGCGCGCCCAGCCCCAGCCAGCGGGCCGCAGGCTCCAAGCTCTCCCCCCATTCTCGGGGACCTGGCCCCGGGGTCACGTTGAGGGTCCTCGCCCCCCTCGGGCTGCCCCACGGCGGCTCCTCCCTGTCCCCACGGCCCCGAGGAGGGACCCAGCTCACAATTCCAGATGTGCCGTCGGGCTGTTCCTGTCTGGAGGGGCCCCTTCTCTCCTCTTCCCCCGAGCACCCGCAACTTGGAAGGCCTCGGATTCCGGTCTGGAGCCAAAAGAAGGGCTCAACTCCGAGAACCTCGCTTTGCCTCCAAAGTTGGTCTTCGGACACAAATTCCCACGCGCAGCTGGCGGGAATGGGGGGATTAGGGATGCTCGGGGCTGCTACAGGACGCGGGAGGCTAGATGGTCACTAACCGGATTTCCCGGAGGGACAGCTTCTGGCGGGGTGGACACGAGGTCTGTGAGCCCCCGGCCCGGGGCGGAGACCGACGGGGTGGGCGAAGGGTGCCCGAGGACCCTGATCACTCCCATCTTTGGGACTACGAGATTTGGGGCCACAATTATTCAGACAGCTGGCTCGAGGCGGTTGTGGCCAGAGTGGTTTCTCTCCCTCATTCTCCTGATTTTCTGCAAACTTTTGCAGAGTTGAGGGCAGGAGAAGGCGAAGGCGCAGCTCCTCGGGCGGCCCCTCGGGGCGCTGGGCCTGGGGGCGAGCGGAGATTTGGGGAGACTGGGGCCCAGCTCTACGGTCGCGGAGGAAACGCGCGGAGTCGGCTTCCTGTGGGGGCTTGGGCCGCGGCGCCCCGCGGACAGACGTGTCCTGCCCAGGCTGCGCCGGGCCGGGCGCGGGGAAGGGACGTGGGGGG